AAATTGGACCTGTGGGCTGGTATTTTTGGAAATTCTATTGTCGGTCAGTTTAACGATATTGAGAAGAACTTCAGCGCACAAGTCACAGAACAGTTATCTAGCAACTACAGCACCTGATCGTTCAACCTTGTGGCAAGTGAAAAAATGCGTAAACATCGAGAAATAATAGAAAAAACCTCAAATTGGTCGAAGGAATTTATCTTTATCGTTTACTCTGAAAAATGTTTAAATAAACTTTTCAAATTTCAATCCATCATATTTTCTCAATGACTTGACCGATTTTCAAAAACGAGGAGGGGAAATGTAGAGAATAGAAAGCTCTTTTCATTGCGGCGCCATTTAACCCCCCTTTCCATTTAGAAAAAGTTTGGGGATGACACCCCCACTTACAGGGTTGACGATTTTGCAATCATTTTTGGAGCAAAAGTTTGGTTTGGTTTGGTTTGGGTCCCCCTCACAAACAAAATTGAAGTGTTGTTGGATTTTTTGAAAAAAAGAATACCCTAGCCGTTATGCCTTGCGGAACGTTTTCGATGGGCCACCCTGTATGCCATCAAGATTGTCTCCGAAGCAATATTCTTAGCATTTTTTTCGGCACACCATTTTTCGTATACTTTCAATGCTATTTCAATCGCCTATTTTATATCTCTGGAAGTAAACTGGCTTCTGCTCTTTTTGCAGCTTCTGTAAGTTCTGGTGGAGTACCAGTATTAAAGTAGTCTTCATTATCAGAACTTTCCGACCACATTCTGGCTTTCTATGTTATATAAATTCGAAAAAGCGAAGGAGAAATTCAAAACTGTCACTTAGTTGTTTGTTTTTCTGTTGAAGGTTTGCGCCATAACAACCACTGGTACCGGTAACTATAGATGGAAATGCCAAAACAGAAAACGACAAATTATCGCATATTTATTTTTTTTTTAATAAAATTCTGTCCATATTTTATCCATACATACAGCCGTTACTCGCTGACGAGTATTCAACACACATAAAGAAGAAGATGGTCACGCAAGGCGTTTTCTTTCATGAGCTTTTCTGTGACTGAAAAGCCTGATACGTGATGTTATCTGCCTACCGCACTCCGGACATTCAAAAATCTCATTGCTTTGTTGCCTTTTTACTTTTTGGTTGCCGTTGTTAACTGAGTTTACAACCCTTTTCCATTGAGTTCTATTGTGAGCTGCTTTTTCCCACTCATTCTGCATGTTAATTCCCTTTAAATTTTCGTGGAAAATGTCCCTGTACCTTTTCAGTTGTCCACCCGGCCTCCTCTTACCGTCTACAAGCTCACCGTAAAGCAGAGATTTTGGCATGCGGTTTTCTTGCATTCTGCATACGTGACCAGCCCATCTTAAGCGGGATTTTGTGACCATGACTTCAATACTCTCGCAGTTAGCTTTTTCAAGGACCGATACGTTTGAGACATGATGGAACCACCGGACTCTTAAGAGTTGTCTAAGGTGTCTCTGTTGCAACTTGTTTAATGCGTTCATGTGTCGGCGGTACGGCACCCAGGTTTCGCTCCCATATAACATGGTGGGGATTATAATTGCTCGGTACACTGCAAGTTTTGTTTTTGTACTCAAGTCATGATTGTAGAAAACCCTGTTTTTTAATTTCCAGAATGCTCTTGAGGCGCTACTAATCCTGTGCTGAATTTCAATATTGGCCCTTTCCGAAATCAAACTGCCAAGGTAATTGAATTCCGCCACATATTCTAATAGTACTTCTCCGATTTTTATAGCATTGTTGTGATCTTCCGGGGGAGTGCAAATGATTTTAGTTTTGTCGATGTTTAGCTTAAGGCCCAAAGCCTCGTATGCCCAGTCAGCGTATTGAAGTTCTGTGATAAATTTTTACGTATTTTTGCCCTGAGTCTTTTTATGTTGAACAGACCGCCATCATATCTGTATCTAATACCCAATCCTCTCTCCTGCAGTTTGCTGTCCACTATAATGGAGAGCGCTGCCATGAATATGTTGAATAGGCGAGGCGCTTAAGACACATCCCTGCCTAAGTCCTGTATTTGTTAGGAATGGGTCGCTCAGTGATCCATGATGTGACATTCTTGACTTGTTGTTATTATGGAGGCTTTTACACACTGTAAGAAATTTGTTGGGTACTCCGAACTTTTTCATAATTGCCCAAAGCGCATCTCTGTTCACAGAGTGGAAGGCTTTTGTTAGATCGATGAATGCAACATAAAGTTTAGACTGCTGCTCTTTTACTTTTTCCTGTAGTTGGCGGATGGAAAATATGGAATCGACGGTGCCGCGGTTGGTACGAAAACCCGTTTGCGATTCTGGAAGAATTTTTTGTATATATGGGTGCAGGCGGTTTGACATTATTTTTGCAAGAATTTTTCCGCCGATAGCCAATAGCAAAATTCCCGGGTAATTTCCGCAATCTGATGCACTTCCTTTGTTCTTAAATATATTAACTATGTTCGCGTTACGAAAGTCCTGAGGTACCTCTCCGCTTTCCCATACGACATCGAAGAGAGCCTTAAGATGACCAATAAGTTCTTCACTTGCACACTTATAGGGTTCCGCCGGAATCGCGTCACAGCCAGCTGATTTGTTGTTTTTAAGCTGTTTTATGGAGGTCTTTATTTCCTGTTCTGTTATTTGGATGTCTAATAAATCGAGGCTGTTATACTGAGGTATTGTGTTTAGTGCTTCCATATTGATTTCTTGGTTAAGGATATGGCTGTAATGTTCTTTCCAGCGATTTCTGATTTGTTCTTCCTCTTTTAGAAGTTCGCCATTTTGTGCCATAATTGGGCAGCTTACCTTCTTAGTTGGACCGTATACTTCTTTTACAGCCTCGAACAATTTACGATACCTAATTGTGATGCGTGGCGTACTCTTGAATCTGATTCGCTTTTTGTGACCACCAGTTATCTTTTACTTGACACAGTTCTCTTCGAAGCGTGTTGTTGGCTGATTTAAAGTTGTCTACCAGTCTTGGATTATGTGGATTTGCGCTGACTGCTTGATGTGCTCTATGCTTTTGTCCCAACAAAGCCTGTATATACGGTTGATTTGCATTAAACCAGTCTGGTTGTTTCTTTTTGTTCGACTTTCCCAGTACTGCTTCGCTGGTTTTATGAATCGCATCACTTAATTGTGTCCAGCCTTGTTCAGCTTCCAATAATGAGATTGAAGTTATCGGTGGAAGTGATTCTTTGATGGCTTCCCGGAGCCAATTTTTTTTTTTAGTAAAATGAGAATAATTTATTCGCAGTCGAAAAAATTGTTTCCGCGTGTTGTTTAGGGTCAAATATTTCAAGTTAATGTATCAAAAAGCAGGAATTGCTATTTTAGGAACGAAACAGGAGATTAAGATGGAGTTTTTTTTGGAGATTAAGATGGAGTAGTTCGAGTAGTCGCATACTGGACTAATAAAGTCGCAGTTCAGCCTTAACAGGTAGTATACTAGTCGCAATATTGCCTAATTTAGTCATCCTAGAGTTTAGCTTGTGCCGCCCTCTATATTCTAAATAAACGAGGGAGTGGATAAAGTATCGGTAATATGTCGATGTATATTTAAATTTAGTTTTATATGTACCTTTCTTATGTCGTCCCATTTTAATTAAGTTTTTTTTATAAAAACAAAAACAGCACCGAACTGTCTGAACAGAACAATGAAGTGAAAATTTTGTGGCGGATCGATATCGACAATCCCATCCATACTAGGGCTGTGCATAGAATCCCGAGCGAAGTCTATCGGTGCCAAGAAGAAAAGAAGAAGAAGAAGAAGAGCGGCATCGGCTGACAAATAAGACATAACGTGTTTTTCAATAATTATTTTATGGTAGAATAATGATTTAGTTGTGTAATTAAAGAGCAGATTGAACACGTCCCTTTATTTTATGGACTTTTGAGTTGTGAAAAATCTAAACAGTAAACCCAGCTGAATTCAGATTATCATATTCACACCCAGAACAACCATAATTTAAGATTTAAGGTTATGGTTCAATACAGTTGCAAAAAGGTAGTGGCTCGACGTCCTACCAACGTAAGAGTAAGGAAATCTAAACAACGTAGGAATTAGTAAAACAGACGACGTTTGCATAACGTTGGAATACGGGTACCTTAGGGTCATAAGACGTTCGGAGACACCAATAGACTTCTGTTAACTTGGTGGCGATTTCGTTTTTGATCGCAATGCCTACGCCATGAATTCTCCTATGTGTTGCGGGGTGACCTTTCCAAAAGAAGGTGTAATGCTCCTCAGTGAGACTACCTTCATCCGCAAAGCGTGTTTCGCTTAGAGCGGCAACATCTATATTTAATCGGTGGAGTTCCTGTGAGACCAGTGCTGTTGTTCTCTCTGGTCGATTTGAATTTATCTTGTCCAGTAGAGTGCGGACGTTCCACGCCGCAAACGTAAAACATTGATGTTTTTTGTTTCTCCGATGATACGCTCGAGTAGGCACCCCCTCCCGGAGATCCAATTGAGGGGGTATTTTACCTCCGGACGATAATTTTGTCCCACTCCAATGTTCCATCATTACTGTGTGTAAGCTGCGTGAAAAGGTTTAACTGTGGCGGTTACGCTGCCGCACAGTTTTAGCTGCAACTGTAGCACGGGATGGCTATGGCACAGTAGCATAGGCACATATTTTATCCATAAACTATTCCATGTCCATAAACCTCGGAGGAAAGTTTTCATTATTGTCTCGAGATTTAGTTAATCTCTCGACAGTAATGAAACACTTCCCTCCTCGGTATGTAATCTACTATTACAGTTATTTTTCGATCTATTATAAAGTTTTAAGAAAGTTGATTTTTATATTTAAATCACGCGATTAAAATTTAAAAAAATCATTTGATTTAAATCACGATTTAAAGCGTCCTATCCTTTTTTAATCTTTCTATAATTAGGGTTAATGTTTGGAAAGAACGTCTAGAGATTGACTATTTTACCAACACAGTATCACGTTGTCTTTTGCTTGTTCGTGCTAAAATCTAAAGCTAACTTAACTCTTTTTTCAGATTATCTGCATCTACACAACACAGACAGCCTCCTACGACAACCGAATAGATGACGAACATCCCCCTGAAGGGTACTATGCTTTTGTCAAAGCCCCCAATGCAGTTCCTCCGGAAGTACGACCTCCGCCGTACAGTTTCCCCAGCGTGGACTGCATGGAGGACCGGGGTGGAGGTCCTCAAGCCTCCGTGTTTAATTTGTGTGGAGACTTGAACAAGGGAAGCATCCCTAGGAACCCTATGGGTCAAAATGTTTTGGGTGCGAGATATCCATTGTAAGTATGTGTATTAAAGAGGTTTTTTTTTTCTCATTTCCGAGATACCACTATCAACTTTATTTGTTGAAAGTACTCGACCTGGATTTGATATTTCCTTTTTTAAATGTTTATGACCTCCAAAATACAATTATGGATCACACCCCAAAAAATGTTTCTTGTTTTTAAAAACATATTTATTCTATCTCTCTACCACTGTGTCCCTTACTGGTTTTTTTTAATCATTATACGTATTTTTTTAATGGAATCATCTATTATTTTTCATAATTTTTGAGACGTTTTTGTCTGTATGTCACTGTAAACGTCCGAAATGCGGTAAAACCTGGGATAAACGCGCTAAACCTAGGATTTACCAGAAGCATTAACTAATTAGGTTAGCGTGGTTATTTGGAGGGTGTTACTGCATTGGTTAGCCTGGTTATTTGGAGGGTGTTAATGCATTGTTAGCCTGGTTATTTGGAGGGTGTTAATGCAATGGTTAGCCTGGTTATTTGGAGGGTGTTAATGCATTGGTTAGGTGGTTATTTGGAGGGTGTTAATGCATTGGTTAGCCTGGTTATTTGGGGTGTGTTAATGCATTGGTTAGGTGGTTATTTGGTGGGGTTGGTTTGGTTTTTACTACCACTTGCTTATTCGTACTTTTACCAATGCGGTATGGAAAATCCTAAGATTTACTGTTTGGGTTCGGTAAAAGTCCGAAATGGAAGCAAAATAAATAGTTTTCGGACTTTTACCACATGCTTTTGGTAACCGTAGGTTTAGCGCGCTTATCCTAGGTTTTACTGCATTTCGGACATTTACAGTAACATATATAAATAAAACTCAATCCTTACCAAAAACTTTTAATTAAAAATAATCCATATAGCAATAAAAAAATAATGAGTTCCCAAAATAAACACAATCAATGGCGGATACAGAGGGGGGTCCATGGGGCCCGGGCCCCCCCTAAAATGTATAATTTCTGTTAAATATTAGATTTTTGACACAACAAACAAAATATATTCTACATTTGGCCCCCCCCCCCAAAAAAATAAATTCCTGTATCCGCCCCTGAATACAGTGGTATTTTGTCGGTTTCTGAAACGAAATGAGATTTAATTTTTTAATGGTCAAAAAGCAAAAAGAAAATTGATAATTTTAACAATTCGTGTTGCCACCTCTAGCCCTTATGCAAGCTTCTATCCGCGTTGGCATGCTTCTTATTAAATTATCAACGTTGTCTTGGGGTATGTTTTCCCATTCTCCTAATGCTGCATCAATAAGCTGTGCGAGATTTCCTGAATTGTCTCGAGAGGCTCTAACCCTTCTTTTGAGCTGGTCCCACAAGTGTTCGATACGGTTTAGATCTGGTGAACATGCAGGCCAGTCCAAAACTATGACACCTTCCGTTTCAAGACATTCTCTAGCCATTCTGCTGCTATGGACAGGTGCATTATCGTGCATAGGGAATGCAATCCCGCAAATGCTGGATCCCGCAAATGCGGGATCACTCTAAGATTCCGCGGGATCAAAGTTGCGGGATTTACCGTGCGGGATCTGCGGGATCTGCGGGATCGACACATTACTACTGGGTAACCCAATCGATCTCAAGATCAAACCGCTTCGTTCAGAAGTGTCAACAGGCAACTGGGGCTAGACACAAGTGCTTCGTTCCGGGCCGATGCGTCGACGCTCGGAACCCGGGGATTCCCCTTGCGGCTTGGCCATTAAAAATAAGTGAAACACACAGGTTAGTTGTTAGATTTCTTTCTGGCGTATGTGCGTAAGTGAAGAAAAGCGTTTAACTAGTACTTGTGGACAATTTCGTCAAATAAACTGCCGGACATAATTATCGGGACAACCAAAATTTTAGGGGAAAATTAAAGTTGAATATCTCTTGAACTAAAAAAGATTTTGGGATGTGGTTTGGACCAGGTTTTAGATGCATATATTGTGATTAAGATGCTATTGTGATCTATGTGGTTTTCGAAAATATATTTAGTGAATTCTCGTATACAGGGTGTTTTATAAGAGTGTGAAAATTTGGTTAAGAATCTTTTTTACCGCAAATTTACAATTTTTAAAAAATCGAAATTTTTACCAAGTACGACTAATCTGTATTGAAATTAGAAAAAACAATTTGATCGGTTTTTTATTTTTTTTTTGTTTTAAGAAAAATACGACGTTTTTTCTAAAAATAAGCTTTTTTAGTCATACGTATGGTCCTAAATGGTACAAAAAGCTTTGTACATTCTACATATGCCAAAAAATTATTGATATAGAATGTATCTAAAAGCAGATAACTAAAACAAGTTAAAAAGAACTTCAAATCAGAATAATATTTTTATTTATAAAATAAGTAGACAAATTATAATAAAATTTAAGTTTAGTTAATATTAAATATATTTTTTGAACACTCTGTATACATCGGTCAGATGAGATCGGACCAAATGACCCCTCTTTATCACTACCACAAACCATTCGAGGTGAACAAAATGGATCGAGGAATGTGGACAGATATAACATTCCTTCAGGATGGACTAACCTGGTATACAGACGGGTCAAAGACCGCTGAAGGAACAGGAGCTGAAGTATTTGGGGAAAGACCAGGGTCAACAAGCTTATCCTTTTCCTTGGGTAAACACTCAACCGTATTCCAGACAGAAATCTTCGCCATTCTACAATGTGCAAGGGAAAACAATAGAAGAGCTTATTCAGGTAAGCTCATCAATATATGCTCAGACAGTCAGGCGGCACTTGGGGCGCTTGTGAGCCCAAAGGTATCGTCGAGACTCGTCTGGGAATGCCTGGGTGAACTGGGAGCTCTGGCACGAAGGAACAGAATTAAATTATTCTGGGTGCCGGGCCGCATATTCATATTCTGCCAACGTAATACGACTTCGGCTGGATTCGTACCGGGCGCCGTGAAGCGTTAGCAAATTATGAGGATCGCAACTGCCCGTTGGCACTTAATGCCTGTTTAAGCACTAGGTGTAATTTAAATAATTTGATGATTAGATGCGTGAATGGTTAGTATTTGAAGGAAAAGAACAAAAAGTGATATGAGAACGGTTTCAAACTTCTTGAAATGCAATTTTTAACTAAAACGATGACAAAATGTTTGTTTTAGATTCAAAGAACAATCCATTATATACATTGCGAGCTTACTTAAAAAAGTAAAACTGATGTTGAAGTTAATATCTTCTTAAAGTTCGTGTATAGTCTTTGCCTGTCTTCTTTTTTGATTAGGTTCTGCGATGCAGTCAACCATTTCCATACTGCCTTCAACACGTGAAAGGAACAAAGCAGGAGCTCTGCCTGTGGCCAATGCTTTTTTTAAAACACTTCTTTCACTGTGTAAGGTACTGAGCAGCTCGTTGCATAATTGGTGTGCATAAACAGATCGCATAATTATCACCAACACGAGTAATTTTAGAAAGAGTGCTTTTATTTTTTTATAAGTTATTTTCTAAAGCCAAGAGCATGCCTTCTCCAGTTCGTTCTCCATAGTTGTTTTTGGAATGTGCCGTCCATAAATTTGAAAAATCGGTTTTAGTTGGAAAAAAGTGCCGGTCTAAAATCATTTCTTCGTACTTGTCGCCCATTTCTTCCATCTTAATACTAGTGAATGGGTGATAGGTATTTGCAGTAGTATGTCTCTTCTCAAATAGCTGGAAAATATATTTTTTTGTTTCGCTGCCTATAGGTCTTTTTAACAAGGCTGCTCCGCTTTCTATTGTGTGATTATGTTCTTCGTAAAAAATCACAACACAAGGCCATGTACTTGCAGTATCCATGGGCTTTTCTATTAAAATTCTCATTTTTGCAGGACAGTCGATATTACGATACTTTTTGTTGTACGCGATTGTTTAACTTTAAAATGACAATGGTAAGAGCGTCTAAATATGTTTTTTTAGATTTTTCCAACGGTGTAACAGTCGTAGTAGGTTGCCAAGTAATTTTTGTTAAATCTCCTAATTCGGTTACCCATTTCTGTAATAAATTATATAACAACAACATGCAAAGCCAAATTTTTAAATGAATAATTTGAAGACTAAACAATAAACTGTGTCGGACGGCAAATAAACTGCCAACGTTAGTTCAATTCAATCGTATTTTCCAAACGCTAGGCTCAAACGCGAATTCAGCCGTATAAACTGCCAACGTTAGTTCAATGTTATCATATTTTGCAAACGTTAGGCTCGAACGCTTGCGACTTTAGCCGAATATCGTATTACGTTGGCAGACTATGAATATGCTGCCGGGCCACAGCGGTATCCAAGGCAACGAAAAGGCCGATGAGCTAGCTAGGCAGGGATCATCGGCATCCTATCTTGGTCCAGAGCCAGTACTGGGAATACCCAAATGTATGGCCCGTAGTGCACTGAAACTCTGGATCAAGGAAAAGCACAATGTCCACTGGAGAAACAGACAGGGGCACAGGCACAGCAAGGCTTTTATCCAAGGACCTAGCTCTAAAACCGCAAAAGAAGTGCTAATGCTTAGCAAAAATAAAGTGCGGATTACAACAGGCCTCTTGACAGGACACATGGCTGTCAAGTGTTATCTGAACAAGCTCAACCTGTATCAAGGAAGTATTTGCTGCAGATTCTGCGATAAAGATCCTGAAACAGCGGAGCACTTAATATGTGATTGCGAGGCTCTGGATCGCAAGCGACACTCTTTATTTGAGAAAGCTAGGCTAGAACCGGAGGAATTATGCTCCCATCCTATCAAGGACCTGCATAAGCTAGTGCAGGGCACAGGGATAGGAGAATGGGTGCAGATATAGAAGGGGGATAAACACAATAGACCTCACAGGTCGCAGTGTTTCCGGTAGAGGACGGCCCCTTGTTATGGAAAAAAAATACATCGGTGCAAATTTCTGTACAGCTAGTTTAAGATACACGCTATATCAATATATTGTGGGCCTATGCAAAATGTACAATGCCTTTTGTACCATTTAGGACCAAATGTATGATTATTGTTTACAGTCCCGCAATTTTGCGGATCCGCGGGAT